GAGCATGATAAGAACGAGGAGAACGAGGAAGAGGAGGGAAATAGAAAACGAGAGAAAATTCTTCTTTATCGCAGTACCTACGGCGACGATACTGGGCGGCCCCGAGTTGTATGTCGGTGCGGGCAGCACGATAAACCTGACGTGTGCCATACGCTTCAGTTCGGAGCCACCAGCCTTCATCTTCTGGTACTACAATGAGAAAGTCCTGAGTTACGACAGTCCCAGGGGCGGCGTCTCCGTGATAACCGAGAAGGGTGGCGACGTTACCACCTCCTGGCTTCTCATTCAGACGGCGCAGCCCTCGGACTCCGGGGAGTACAGCTGCAAGCCCAGCAACGCCAATACGGCGTCTATCAGGGTTCATGTCCTAAATGGTGAGTCTTTGCTCCTGCGAGGTACGCCAGAGCCCAGAGCTCCGTTCTTGTCGACGCGATTTTACGAGCGACGCGAGACAACGGCCGCGAAATGTCATGTATTTTCGGTACAACTCGCTATTTCTTCATCAGCCGAGGTAGCTAGGTAGCTTAATTAAAAATTTTACGTTTCGTATATTTATTTGCCTCTCTCTAAAGCTTCTCTCTAAAGCGGAACGTTTTTGACATTTATTTGAACAACGAACTAAATGACCACTGCAATTAATTATTACGTATCGTATATATTAAATCTCGCATTGATTCGTTAATAAGCATGAGTCTTTTAATTGCTTTACTGAAAAGCAATTCGCAACGAAGGAAAGATTTCGTGTTTCCATGTCTTTTCGTACCGGGCAAACTGCTCTAAACTGGCACCAAAAAATTTAAGATAATTATAATTATCGAGTAATAAAAATGCGCTTGCTAGCCTAAATTCTCATGCCTGCTTACAATTCCGTGGAATTAATATAATTCCGTTGTGCTACGACGATTAACTATCGTGTCGCTTCGAGGCGCCAGAATTCCGAATCAACCTGGCCAATCTGCCAAGTTGCAATTTCCGTCCCTCGAAATGAATTCCCAAAGCGTACTGGCTGTCATCGGGTCTTGCTTTATAGCGTGCAAAATTATTTTATTGACCGTCGCTCTGCAGTTCACATCCCGCATAGAGAAGCTGTAGATGTTAACTATTCACACAGCCAGCTCGTAAACTCGAACCGTTCCGCGTCCGCGATCGTTAAAACTACTCAGGACCGATAGTGGATCGGAAAAGTTTCGCGGCACCGAAATGCGCGTATAGATCCGCTGTTCGCCGGACTAGAAATCGATAAACGGATGATAACGAAAAAGAGGTGAAAAACACGGTGAACAGCGCGCCTCGGCGCGCAAAAAGTCTCTATTCTTTTATACTTTCTTATCACGTGTTCTTTCTTATCCCTCATTCTTATCACGCCTAATAGCTCTTAATTCTTATCTTTCTAATTGGTTTCACGTACCGGTCTCGTGATGTATTCCTGATAGTCGGAGAATATCGGCCGAGAATGTACGCCCGCAGCTGTCCCTTCCCAGCTTTCGGCCGCGAGCTCGAAACTTGCCGCTCTATCAAACTCTTGGCAATTATGCAGTCGCGAAGTTGGCGCGCGCGTGCACATATAAATATATATGTATATACGGAAACGCTCGCGTGAACTCGACGCGAATACGAGGCACCCCGATTTCGCATAATAAGGCCCTTCGTCATTCGCGACGAACGAAGAAGCCGGCGGAGTTGGCGAATGCTTCAATAACCTAGCTTGAATAATTTATTAATGAAGCGCATGCGGGAGACACTATTGAATTATGTTCGTTATCGCGGCTTGTTTTTCGCGACGCGCGACAACATCGCGCGAGGAAACAAATTTCGCTCGGTGATTCGCGGATATTCCAATATATCGTTTAGTGAAACATGCGGATTGCGAAATGATTCGCGAAATAATCCGGATATATATTTGTAACCATATATTGCCGTGCATAGGTAACAAAGCGACTATCTGCAAAATGTTATAAAAGGATAATAATATCTTTTTATTTTAATTATAATCTCAACGTTTCGAATATCTATAGAATATCTATATTTCAACATGAAGAGAAACCATTTATCCAATGATTTCTCGCTAATGGAATTAAACAAAATCTATTATTAAACATTTATAAACTTCTGTTGCTCTCTTTTAAGTTTAAAAATTATGATTAATATAGTTATATAAATTATGTAGAGAATTTACATGTAATAGTAAAAACAGTTATTTTATTTATTACTTTAAATACAATTTTTATCTTAGATATTATTTTTTTTTACAGCATCCGTATATGACATTAACGGATAACTTATTTTGCCCTTTTATGTGACCCAGAATTAATTTATTAAATTTTACTTTAATATATCATTTTCATATTTTCAACAAATTTACATTAAATGTATCAAGTTGTGTTAGATATAAAAATTACAAAAAATATTTGCGTTGAATTCGGTCATATTCTATAATTTAAATATAAAACAGTTAATAAATTACATTAAATAGAATAATTCAGAGTTTTTAATTTCCGCGTCGTCTTCTATCTTTTTCAATAATTCAATTACTGCTTTCGAAATGTCGGCCTGGAATCAATTGCAGCAATATCGATCAACGCGCTCATTGTCAAAGAAAATACGAATCGCGACGACCAAAATAACTCGTAAGTGCGCGCTCTTAAAATTTTACCATCGAAATCCCGATCTCTCCGTAGAATACGACACCTTAAAAGCTCGCAGAAATTTACAGCTGCTCGCTTGATACCGCCTGAACGGGGCGGAAATTACTCTTCGATTCGCACACGCGTGGAGCGCAGCGCGCTTGCCTTGGCTGGCGCGACCGATATTCCCACATCGAAAGAAATATATAGGTCCCTCGACTTAATGAAAACTTTGCCATTAGCCGCGCACGTCGGAATAATCTCTCGGAGTCCCAGTTACAATGCGTTAAAAACAATTTTAGAAAGTTTCGCCTCTATATATATTCCCACCGTTCCAAGAGGACCGTCGAAAAATCCTCCCAAAATTCCCTGCATCGTTATAAGAAACGCGGATAGCGGGCAAACAAACGAACGAACGAACGGACGGACGCGAAAGTTTCGCGTGGGCGCAAAACTTGGTAAATTTACGAGGGCCGAGTCGGAAAATTCCGCGGGCATTACGGGTGGGGCGAGGGGAAACGCACGTCCGGAAATAGTACTTCGATTCGTTTTACGAAGTGGCCGATATCCGATAAAAGGTCGGATAGAAAGGACGCGCCTAATACGCCGCTTCAGTCCGCTCGAAACTTTTTACAATGGGCGAAAGCGTCGCGATCAACATTCCCAGCGTAGGCGATCGCACGGCCCGGCGGTCCGGCAAATTGCGCGCCAGAAAACAGGATCATTTATCCGAATGTATCGCTCGCAGTTGACATTCATTAAAAAGTTTCACGACGCATTCCGCGACGCGGAACAAAAAGCGCGCTCACGAGCGAGCGAGCGCGCGAGCGAGCGATTCAATTAATTTCAGCAGTCACACCGACGCGAGAAACTTTCCTCGCGCGGTACACGTCACTAGTATTTCAATAACTTTCCATGCGAAAATATCCGCGGTGGCACCAGCACGCGCTGCACGGTAAGCTCTCATTATCCAGATCACGCCCGGGGAACTCCGGGTCGCTTCAACCCTCTCGACCCACCTCACCCCGTTTTTGCCTTTCCAGTTCGCGCGAAGTAGATTATATTCGCTGAATGAGACTTGATAGATTGATGGATGGTTTATTTATACTCGCGGCATAAATCCCGAAGAACCTTTCGTAATAATGGTTTTACCATCATTTTAACAGAAACAAGAGTGACGTAATAAAAATGTATTAGCCGGTTAGTCGAGTTCCGGTCGAAAA